AAACAAATCAGGAGAAAAAGTGAGAGACGCGCTTGGTGAGGGGTTAGGGAGGTCAGAGAGGCCTCCTCCAGGATGCGACACTGGAGCCGAGACTGACCGGCCACTCAGAGCCTGAGGGGAGAGCTTGCCAGGAACAGGGAAGGAACGGCCAGTGCAAAGGCCATGAGGCAGACGGAACGTGGGGAGGGGCTTGGAGATGCAGTCAGAGCCAGCACGGGGGAGATCGCAGGCGTCTGCAGCCTTGGCAACCACACGTGCTCGGCCGGTGGAGCCTCCTGTCCAACAGCTGCGTCGATGACCGACATCTCAACCACACCTCTCAGTTGCTTCTTCCCCCTTCACGGCACAGAGGTCCTCTGTCAGCTCCAGAGGGACGAGAACTATCGAGACTCTAATGTGCGCCTCCTTCGACGGCCCCCTTCCCTCTTCGTGGCAAAGCCAGCCCAGGCCTTGAAGGACACTCTTGGCAAATTCACCTCTGCTTCCCAGCCCTGAACGATAAGGCTCTAGAGTGAGAGCACGTTGATGCAGCCGCTCGCTAACTCTGGGCGAGTTACTACCTTGATTTCCTCATCTGTGAAAGAAGAGAAGCATCAGGTGGTAGCGTGAATTGAACTGGGCGATGCCCAGAGCCTGGGGCCTTGCAAGTACTGGTAAGGGTTAGTTACTGTCACAGCTGTTGGGTTGATTCAAATACAGCTGTTGGCCCGGCGTGCACGGGCCACGTAGAGGTTTACTGGGGTTTATCCCTGGACCCCGTTCCTCCTTCCATGAGTTGTATCACTTAGACCTTTCCGTAGGCAGAGTAGCAAATTCACACTGACAATTCAGATGGATATTGCTTTCTCATAACAATAACAAAAATGACCATAGCTAACATTTATCTGCGTCTACGGTGTGCCAGGCTCTGTGCTAATGCTTACATAGCTAATTCCTCATTTAACCCTCACAACATCCTATGAGGTGGGTGCTACCATTGGCCCCCCTGCAGAAGATGAAAGCAAACCTCCGAGGAATGAGGTGGCCCGTCCAGGGTCATACAGGTGGAAATATTAGAGCTGGGATTTGAACCCAAGCCATGCGGCACCAGGGCCTGCCCTCTTAAGCAGGATGCTTAATCTTCAAAGCAACAAGCATCTCGTGAGTAGGTGCTGCGTTTCAGATTATGTTAGGAGCAGAGGCACAGATATGCGTAGTATAATGGCTAATCATAGTATTATGGCTGTAGTACAAATTACATGTGTAGCAGTAATGTCTCTGGGTTGAATCGTGTCCCCCCAGATTTCATGTCATTCCAGAACCTGTGAACGTGACTTTATTTGGAAATAGGGTCTTTTCAGACGTAATCGAGTTGAGATGAGGTCATACTGGATTAAGATGGGCCTTAACGCCAATGACTGGTGTCCTTACAAGAATAGGGAGGTTTAGACACACACGCAGGGAGGTATGTGAACTGTGGAGGTGGACAATGCAGGGGTGAGGCTGCAAACCAAGGGCTGCTGGCAGTCACCAGAAACCAGGAGAGACGCCTGGAACGGACTCCCCTCCTGAGCCTCCAGCAGGACCAGCCCCACCAGTGCCTCGATTTAGGACTTCCCGCCTCTGAACTCTGAGAGGATAAATATGACTAGTGGCCTATTTGAGGCCACTAATTTTTCTTATAATTCTAGTTGATTGACTATGTTGTGCTAGTTTCAGGTGTACAGCAAAGTGATTCAGTTATACATATATACATTCTTTTCCATCATGGTTATTCCCAGGATACTGAATACAGTTCCCTGTGCTATACAGTAGGACCTTGCTGCTTATCCATCCTATATATAATAGTTTCCATCTGCTCATCCCAACTCCAAATCCATCCCTCCCCCACCTCCCCTCCCCCTTGGCAACCACAAGTCTGTTCTCTACGTCTGTGAGTCTGTTCATAAGTTCATTTGTGTCATATTTTCGATCCCACATGTAAGTGACAGCATATGGTATTTGTCTTTCTCTGTCTGGCTTACTTCACTTAGTATGATCATCTGTAGGTCCACCCATGTTGCTGCAAATGGCACTATTTCATTCTTTTTTTTTGTTTTTCCCCACACGTGGGAAATAAGATCCCACATGTGCAGCATGTGGGATCTTAGTTCCCTGACCAGGGATCGAACCTGCACCCCCTGCAGTGGGAGCACGGAATCTTAACCACTGGACCGCCAGGGAAGTCCCAATATTTCATTCTTTTTCACACAGGCCACCTAATCTGTAGTAATTTGCTGCAGTAGTCCTAGGAAATGAGCACACTCATAAAAGGGAGACAATAGAAAAGATAGTTTCTCAATTCACCCTTAGCCCCTGTTTGGCAATAAGCATTCTTTCTGAAAGTCATGGTTCCCCACTGGCGGTGAGTAGTCAGGGAAAAGCCGGTGATGAATCAATCCCTGGCCTCACAGGAAGCTTGCTTTCCTGTCAACAAAGCACAGAGTGAAAAGCCGTCAACCTTGGGCCAGAGGGCTGTCTGCCTGGCCACTGTCACGAGGCTCCGATGGAGAGAATACTTTCATCCAAGGGAGGAAAAAGTAGCAGAGCCCACCCCAACTGTATTTGCCTCTGGTCCCCGAGATGCCCCTTCCGCTCAGGCTGACAGCGTGCTGGTGGGGACAGCTCATGAGAAGAATCCCGAGGCTCACAAAATCTCGGTTTAAATAACGGGCCAGATATTTCCCCACAAACCCTCGACACGAAAAGCAGAAGTTCTTAAGCACTTGGCAACCCAGTTTCCTTTGAGGATCTGTTGAACGCTCTGCATTAACCCTCAACCCTAGGGAGAAGAAAAAAATTTGACGTGCAAAATTTGGGGTGACATTTCAAAGCACCCTGAACCCCTGAAGCCCATTTACGGACAAACAAATACTTCTGAATATGGCCAACTAGCTGCCGGGCACCGTGCGAGGAATACAAGGGTGGAAGAAGAGACAAGGCATGTTTCTTCCTGAAGCCCAGAGCTCGAAGGGCAGAGGGTATAATTTCCTGTGGCTGCCGTAACAAATTACCACAAGCTGGCTGGCTTACAATGATAGAAATGTATTCTCCCACAATTCAGGAGGCGAGAAGTCTGGAACCAAGACGGCAGCAGGGTTGGTTCCTTCCGGAGGCTCAGAGGAAGAGTCCGTCCCAGGCCTCCCTCCAGCTCCTGGTGGTGTCTTTGGCTTACAGGCACATCACCCCGTCCTCTGCCCCCATCTTCACGTCACCTTCTCTGCTGCACGTCCCTCTGTGTCCCCTCCTCTTCTTACGAGGACACCGGTCATTGGATTTAGGACCACTCTAAATCAAGTAGGATATCACAGAGGTCTTTAACTAATGACATTTGCAAGGACCCTATTTCCAAATAAGGCCACGTTCTGAGCCTCTGCGTAGACATGAATTTGGGGGTGACGCTATTGAACCCAACACAGGTGGTTACGCAGTCACCATGGAGAGCAGCAAAGGTACACCTGAGGCATCCAAGAAAGGGTTCCTGAGGACCTCATGTGGAATTAGGAACCAGATGGTGAGTAGAGACTAAAACAGGAGTGGTGGAAAGTGCATCAAGAAGCACTAATCACTATATGTATCGATGTGATAGGTAACCAGCAAGGACCTACCGTACAGCACAGGGAACTCTGCTCAATGTTCTGTAAGAACCTGTGCAGGAAAAGAATCTGAAAAAGAGTGGGTATATGTGTAACTGAATCACTTTGCTGCACACCTGAGATTAACACCACATTGTAAATCAACTCTAATATATATAAAATAAAAATTAAATTTAAAAAAAAAAAAGAAGAAGAAGAACTCATCACATAGGTGAGGCCCAAACAGAGGGAGGCAACAGCTGAGGAAGGAGTCAGACAGGAGGGGCCGGTGCAGAGGACGGGCCGGGCTTGTACACTGCTCTTCGCAGTTTGGATTTTGTTCTTAGGGTCACCAAATGCCTTTGAGGGATTGGAAGCAGAGAAGTGTTTCTAGAAAGTTCACCTTGGCTGAGGTGAGGAGGATGGATTGGAGAGGGTGAGACCAGACGCAGGGACACCAAGGGTCCCTGTCTCAGGGGAAAGCTCCCGGCTTAAGGATGCAAGTGGCTGAAACTCCAGAGACACCCCATGTGTTGTCCTAACCAGCTGGTTGGGATGATTCCCACGGAGCCAACAGGAGGGGTTTAACCCAGGCAGGTGGGATCTGAGCGGGCCAGTCAGATCAACGTCAGCCCAAGAAGAAAACCGATCTAAAATATTCATAAAACTTTGGCCAGTTCAGGTATACACCTCCTCCCCTTTTGTGGTCCCTTAGCGTTAAGTGCGCCTTAAATGGACCAGTAAGTCTTGTCCGCTCACAGATAAGTAAGTCCTTTGGCCTTCATGCGCCCCACTGACTTTCAGTCACTCTTCAAGGGCACCTTCTCCCTTAAACCCCCAGGCTGGGGTCCACACCCTCCCCACAGACTCCAAAAATTCCTGATGCAGCCTCTCGGACTAGATTGTAATCTGTACTTTCCTTTCAACCTGTCTCCACTACGAGAGCTTGAGGGCAAGGATTGTTATTTGTTCACCTTTGTGTTCCCAGCTCCTAATACACACACACACACACACACACACACACACACACACACACACACACACACACACACACACACACAGACACTCACAAAATAAGCGTTATCAGAATTCCCTGGCAGTCCAGCAGTTAGGACTCAGTGCTCTCATTGCTGGGGCCCCAGGTTCGATCCCTGACCAGGGAACTAAGATCCCAACAAGCCGTGCAGCATGGCCAAAAAAAGAACAGTTATCGAATGGACAGATGGATGGATGGATGGATGGACTCCTTCATGATGCTGTACTGGCTTCAAACTAAACTCATCAATCAATTAATTACATCAACATGGACCCGTCAATTGCTCTTTAAGTGCTTTATGCGGCCCCCTCCCCACAAAAGAGTCAGGATGAAATATCCAAAGAGATGCTGGCTTGACATCTCAGACTCACCTCATTCCTTCTGCAGCCATCTTATCAAGGTTGGCAGTGTCCTTCGTTTCCGCCCAGTTTGCTCCCAGGTCACCCCACCCCATGTCATCTGCCAGAATGATCACGAAATTCGGTTTCTGTTCTCTTGTTTCCCCACTGAAGCTAAAATCCACGAGAGGATAAAGACATCCCAGGAAACTCACCCCCACCAACAAAACCTTTAGGAAAGGCCAGGCCATGGCGATCAGGGGAGGTTTCCAACTGTGTGCAGTGATGCAGTGGTGGAGTTTCCAAGAAGATACTGGTGGTGATGGTGGTGGTGGTGATGCCTACAGGGATGGTGGGTGCTACAGAAATGAGGCCCGCGTCTGGAATCCTAATTCACGAGAGTCGGGAAACTCACAACCCTGAACTTGACTTTCTCCAGCGCAGCCCCGTAAGGTGACGGGTCTTGTGTGGCAATCAGACCTCAGTGTCAACAACTGCTCTTTGGCCACTTAGGAAATGACCCCTCTGTGCTCAGAGACGTGAGAGCCGGAGCTCGAGCCTTGCATCTATTCGGGGCTCCAGCTGGTGAGTGCGGGATAAATTTTCACATCTGCAGAACACCTGGACGGTCTAGAAGCCACAGTCAGTCCCAGTCGAGTTTCTGAGTTCCAGATGGTTGAAGGCTTCATGTGTCTGTAAGGTTTCCTGAAAGAACAGAAATTGACGAGAAAACAGAGTTAAAACTGCCGGTGCAGCTGTGTTTTACTCAGTAGCTTAGGAAATAATCACTTTTCCATGCCGACAGATGTTTTCCTTCTTATTCGACTACTGAACGGGTTCATCGCTTTCTCCACCGGAGAAATAGTGATGCTAATATTTGCAACAGACCTATAATTACAGGGTTGGAAGCAACAGTAGAGATGATCTCTCACAACCCGCTCACCGTATAGAGGGGCATACACCGAGGCCCCGTGTTCCGGGTGGAGGGGCAAAAGGACCAGCACCGCAGCACTCTGTGAAATGCCAGTGCACCCCACCTCCTACCTCACTGTGCTTCTCTGATTCACAAGAAATTCCCAAACTAAGCGCGACCTTGTCAAAACCCACAGGGATTCTAGAAGAAAGGGTGAGACCCTTATTACCTTATTACCAAGACATGATTCTTTCTAACAGTCATGCTGTAAACTAGCATTTCTATATAAAATTCTTTTTTTTTCTTTTTGGCCGCACCTTAGTCCCCTGGCCAGGGATTGAACCTGGGCCCTCGGCAGTGAGAGCGCCGAGTCCTAACCACTGGACCGCCAGGGAATTCGCCAATAAAGGAGCAGTCTGTTTTTGTTTTTGCTTTTTTGCCACACCGTGTGGCATGAGGGATCTTAGTACCTGTACCAGGGATTGAACACAGGCCCCCTGCAGTGGGAGCTGGGAGTCTTAAACACTGGGCCACCAGGGAAGTCCCTCTATACAAAATTCTTGATAGAAATTAATTGGGAAGAAAAGGAAAAGAAAAAAAATCAGTTAGTGGTAGAATCTAGGTGGACAGTCTAGGGAGCTCACTGTAGAACTCCTTCCATTTTGCTGTATGTTTGAAATGTTTCATAATAAAATGTTAGGAAAAAATGTCCAAAAAATGTTTAACGGAAATGTGTCCCTTTATATCTTGACAATGTAATTTTTTTTTTTTTTTTGCGATACACGGGCCTCTCACTGCTGTGGCCTCTCCCGTTGCGGAGCACAGGGTCCGGACGTGCAGTCTCAGCGGCCACGGCTCCCGGGCCCAGCCGCTCCGCGGCACGTGGGATCTTCCCGGACCGGGGCATGAACCCGTGTCCCCTGCTTCAGCAGGCGGACTCTCAACCACTGCACCACCAGGGAAGCCCCCGACAATGTAATTTTTAATAAGAAAATCTTAAGACATGCTCAACCGGTGCTTTTCACATTTAGATGTACATACAAATCAGCTGGAGATTTTATTAAAATGTAGATTCAGTAGGTGAGGCTGGGACCTGGGGTCTGTATTTCTAACGTAGCCCTTAGATTACATTTTGAGTAGCAAGAATGCTTAGTTAAAAATATCCAGATTCTGGTCCGAGAAGAAAACTAACGTAACTGGAGGTGATTAACCTGTGACTGATACTTAACCTAACTAGAGACCTAACGAGAGGTGATTCAGCTTCAGTGGAAAAACACAAAACAATAAATCAGGTTGAGTTCTGAAAGACAGAAATGGAAGGCTATGCTTTCAACTGCAGGTTGCAAATGGAAACACAGAATAAAGAAAACCATATTTTACCCCTAGTTCACCTAAAAGCCCTAAACTGACTAGGCTAGTAAGGAGACAGAGACTTGAAATTCTGGATCAGATTTTAAAAACCTCCGTGGAACACCCAACCCATTAAAGGAGAACCAAGTTATTATAATATACAAAGATGCGGGACTTCCCTGGTGGTGCAGTGGTTAAGACACCGCCCTCCCGATGCAGGGGGTCCAGGTTCAATCCCCAGTCAGGGATCTAGATCCCACATTCATGCTGCAACTAAGAGTTCGCATTCCACAACTAAGGAGGCCGCCAGCCACAACTAAGGAGCCCGCCTGCCGCAACTAAGACGCAGCACAACTAAATAAATAAATGAATGAATGAACAGTCGCATTCTTCAAAAAATAACAGTAATACTAATATATAAAGGTGCTAGCAGGGCTGGGGTTACGACAGATGCCATTTCCAGTTGTGTATCCCTGCCCTTGAGGAAGGAATGCACAGCCGACCAAGCCGGCCAGCCAACCCAGATGGATGGGAGTGGTTGGAGGTATGTAAGTTCTGGAAGATGCAGATAAACTCAAAAGGATAGGCAGCTATGCACTTAATCAAAATAAAAGGAATTCCGAGTCAACAGTCATGGTCATCTGGAGGGCAATGAATCAATTGTTCAGCAACGCAAATTCTTCTGTTTTCCAAAAGGAAAGTTATTATTTCAAACTCAATTAGATTCAACTGGTATTTGTTGATCTTGAGGCCCCAAAGACTTCTCCCTTTCTAGAAGAAAGAGGCTTTGCACAAGCAGGGTGCCTAACAAACACTTGTTGACCTGCCTTATTCTACTGGCTTCTGACCATGAGCAACAGTTGCAGGAAGCTTTTCTTCCTAAAGCTACTTAGCTTGGAACGCTAGAGCGGCCTCATTCTTCACCCATAATCCAGTTCAGAATGACCCAACACAAAACGGCCCGGGGCGGGGCGGGGGGGGGGGGCGGGGGGGGGGAGAAAAAAACCACTTAAGAAGGAAGTTAAAATTAAGGTGGGAACATAAGTAAACAGATTGTTTTTCTTAAGAATTCTGTGGATAAAACATTCCTCTGAGGTTTTCAAAGAGAATCATTAATACTTAAAATTTTTATGGCATATGGAAATAAGCTAATTTAGCCAGTACACCATTGCCCTAGCCTTCACGCCCACACCTCCAGGGAGACATTTAATCCTTTCCCCACTTATTGTTTTTAACTAAAGGGAAAAAGCAAGTCAGACATTCAAAGAATGGACTTCACGCCACGGACCTTGATTAAGATCCAAGCTGATATTATGGAAAACAGTATGGAGGTTCCTCAGATTAAAAATAGACCAACCATATGATCCAGCAATCCCACTTCTGGGTATATATCCAAAGGAAATGAAATTAATATCTTGAAGAGCTACTGGCACCCCCATGTTTATTGTAGCATTATTCACAATAGCCCAAGTACCCAGAAATGGGTGAATAGGTAAAGAAAATGCGCTGTGTGCACTGTACACACATAACGGAATTATTGGGCCTTAAAAAAAGAAGGAAATTTGTCTCCACTCATAACAACCTGGATGAACCTGGCGGATACCATGTGAGGTGAAACAAGCCAGGCACAGAAAGACAAATACCACATGATCTCACTCACATGTGGAATCTAAAAAAGTAGCGCTCACAAGAGCAGAGAGAACGACGGTTGCCAGAGGCCGGCGGGTGCGGGAGATGGAAGGGAGTTTGTTAAAGTACAAACAACCAGTTACATAGAATCAATCGCTTCTGGGACTTCCCTGGCAGTCCAGTGGCTAAGACTCTGCTTCCAATGTAAGGGGCCCAGGTTCGATCCCCGGTCAGGGAACTAGATCCCACATGCCTGCCACAGCTAAGAGTTCGCATGCCACAACTAAAGATCCCACGTGCCGCAACGAATATCTCACACGGGGCAACAAAGATCCCACGTGCTGCAACTAAGACCCGGCACAGCCAAATAAATAAATAAATATTAAAAAAAAAAAAGAATCAATCACTTCTGGGGATCTAATGTATAGCACGGTGACTGGATCTAATGTATAGCATGGTGACTAGAGTTCGTAAAACTGTATTACGTAGTTGAAATTTTGCAAAGAAAGTAGATCTTCAATGTTTCCACTACCAAAAAAATTTATAAGGTAACTATGTAAGGTGACGGGTGTGTTAAATTAGCTTGATTGTGGTCATTTTATAATGTATATGTATATCAAAACATCACGTTGTATATAATTTTTATTTGTCGATCCTACTTCAATAAGGCTGGGTCGTTGTGCTTGCTTTTTTTTTTTTTTTTTTTTAAAAAAGACCCAAAACAAACTTCTAAAGATGAACTGCCTGAGGTGATAAATATACTGGGTGGGATTAATACTAGACTGAACATTGTAGGTGAAAAGATTAGTGAACTTGAAGATACAGCCAAGATCTTTTTTAAAGCTCTTTTTTTAAAGACTACCGGCTCAGTGTCTTATCTGAGGTTACTTTCCCAAACTTTCTTTACACATCACACTCCCCATCTCAGAAGGGAGAGTGGGGACTTCCCTGGTGGTCCAGTGGTTAAGAATCTGCCTCCCAATGCAGGGGACACGGGTTCGATCCCTGGTCGGGGAACTAAGATCCCACAAGCCGCGGGGCGACTAGGCCCATGTGCCACAACTAGAGAGCCCACACGCTGCAACTAAGACCCGACGCAGCCAAATAAATAAAAGAAGGGAGAGTGGACAGTCAAGGAGCACTTCTGGGGGCTTAGGAAGAAGGGGGAGCATTTGACAAATAAAGCCTTCACCCCTCCTTCCACTGGGCTGGAAGGTAATCAACCACCTTACTCAACATAACACGCCCAAGGAAGGGCCATCTGAGCTGACTGGGATAGATTTTGCCGAGCACAGCACCAACCCCGCCCTTGTCCTCAGGAGCTCCGGCTGCCAATCAGCTCTGCGATGGTCTGTGCTCTTTTCCACGACCCCGCCATAAAGCAAGGCCGCTGGGCCTGCTAACGTCTGGCCTCCCTTTGGGTTCCGGGCTTGCTGATGGGGAAGGGTACTCATCACGGAAACGACTCACAGGCGGGCTGTGGGCCTTGGAAAGGAGGAGCTGCCCTGAAGATGTGCTCTGCAGGCTGCACACCCGGGCCGGCTGCCCATCACCTGACCCTGGCTCCCCGTGGGCCCCCCGTGGCCAAGCAGCCCGCAAGAGCGCCTTGCAAACAGCTGAAGCAACAAGACAGTCGAGCAGACCTTTCTGGCAGAGGGCTCTGTTGGTTTTCCAAAGACAAAGCTTCGGATGAGCTGAGGCCAAGAAAGACAAAGGCGCAGAGGGAGTGTGATCTCTGGTTGCAGAGTTCTGTGGTTTCACCCGCCCAGTCGGACCACGGTCACTGGGGGCGCTGGCTGCAGCCAGGAGTCACGCG